GGGTCAGGACTCCGGCAGTGGAGGAGAGAGAGGGGCCTAAACTCTGAATACAGCAAGGATACATGGGGATTTATCGCCAAGGAGCAGGGTGAGGCAAGTAGATGGAAAATTACTAAGAAGAAACATCAGGGTAGGGGGATTCTTGCTGAGCTGATCTAACAGGACTCTTACTGAAGGCACGCCAAGGACTTAGACATCAGTGGTGCCGTATGAGGAACTTGATCAGATACCCAAGGTGATCAGACATCAAGGGCGGGGAATTCTTGCCAAACTGACTAAGCAGGATTCTTGCTAAAACTGAGCTAGGCAGTCTGAAGACGGTGGGGGGTGGGGGGCCAAGGTTGAGGACTCACTAAAAGGAGGGCTCAGAGGAGCCTGACTCAAGGTCGGAAAAGAGAGAGTTTTTGTTGTAGTGCATATTCACTGAGTGCATATGTACTGAAGTAAATGTCAAGCACATCATTAACATACACCAGTGTGTCTTTCCAGCTCTCTTCTAAAAAAGCGAAACTCTTAAGTTTCCTCTCTAGGGTTTGCTGGTTTGGAAAGAAGGAGTTTGGCACCGTGCACCATATCACCCTTGCCGGCCATCCTCTGTAGAACAAAGAGACTTTGTGAAGACAAGGGACCCCTCCCCCCGCTTGGCTTCTATTCTGGCATCTCAACGCCCCCCAAATCCAGTATTTATTCAACAGATATTTATCAGGCACCTACTATGTGACAGATACTGTTATAAGTACAGAGAATGTAACAATAATCAAGACAGAGCCTTGCCTTCTTTAGGGCTTGTGGTTTACTGAAGGGAATCAGGCAATAAGTTAAACAAATAGTATATCAGATGGAGAAGAATTACACAGGGAAGGGACAGTCTCATCCTTAGACCTGGGCAAGAGGCACCCACACTTTATAGGTCCCTTCCCGGGTGATGGGTTTACCAACCTAAGGGGCTATGCCTCTGAGAGCCTGAACCCCCTTTCTAGATCACACTCTGGTTACCTAGGACCTCGAAAGTTCCTGCCCAAATGGTACTGAGGCCACGTCCAGGGTTTGCATGGATTCACTTTGGGTCTGATCTTAGAGAGTAGAGGGGAACACAAGTGTTATGTCCCTGTAAGCCTGAGGGACGTAGCTGGGATGTTCACATGTAGGTGTGAAGCTCCTTGAGGTATTGGTAGGAAAAGGGAGGTGGGAGGAGAAAGGGGACAGGCCATATTTTGGGGACCATAAGTTTTATTCTTGCTCCAGGCTCCACAAATATTAAAGGCAGACCTGAGAGAATTAAGGATAAGAACTTTTTCTTGAGTCGGTGGGTTGTCACTGCAACTTTAAACAGGGTGAACCAGGGAAGGCATCGTGGAGAAGGTGACATTTTACTAAAGACCAGAGAAAAGTGAGGAAAGGAGTGATGTGAATATTTGTGGGAGAGAATTGCATGCAGAGTCAAAGGTAAGTGCAAAGGCCCTGTGGCAGGAATGTGCCTGGCACGTTCAGGAAAAGTAAGCCTAGCTGTTCCCCCAGGCACCTCACGCCCTTGGAGACCAGCCAGATTTGTGTTTGTGCAAAGCATAAAAGAAAGAGGTCCTCCATAAATGTCGTGTTGAATGAATGAATGAATGAATGGGCCAGCCTCCGTGAGGAGCCTCCCCCAACAGCACACAGATGCATCTTCCTGTCCTGCTCTGTGTCAAAGGTATTCCTGGGCCAGCTTGCATATCCTGATGACTAGAGACTGCTACTCTTCAGGCCAGGATTTTCCCAAACCTGCTGTTCTTAAAAGTTTTTTTCTAGTTCCTTCCAGACTTTCTCCTTATCATTTCCACTTTCCTGTTTTCCTCTCCCAGCCGGCACCCTTGATCCCCCCTTGGCGTCCCCATACGTCTGCTTGTCCTCAGGGACACCAGTGTCTTAGATGTGGCTGCAGACACGGAACTGGTGGGGGGCAGCGGGTGGTGGAGGTGGTGTGTGGCCATGCCCCGCCCCCCAGGCTGAGGGGACAGGGTTAGGGCCTGAGGAAGGAAAGACTTGGAGGTCAGAGGCTTGACCTGGTTTTAGCTCAGGGAAACAAGTATGGGTATTTACATGGTAAGAAGAAAAGAAAAAAAAAGGCACCTTATTTTTAGGGACAGGTCCTGAGGTTTTAACCTAACATAGAGGCCGGGTCTCAGATTTTCAGCAGGTGCTTTCTGAGCTTTGCTGCCACTGCTCTGGGCTTCTATCCTCAGTCCCTGGAGATGGATGTGCTCCTTTTGGGGGAGGAGTTGTGGCCTCCCTTTCAAAAACATGAAGATGACCCCCACCCCCCACCCCCAGGTCTGCCCTCTGCCCTGCTTCCCTTTGCATGGGCTGTTCCTCTGAGCCTGCCCTTCCCTCCCTACTTTGTTCAGGCCCTGCCTGCTCATGGAGGACTCTGCCCAGGCCTTCCTCCTCTGGGCAGCCGGTCCTGGCGGGAGATACTGTGTCGGTACCCCCCCCCACCCAGAGACTCCACACTTTATTGTGTTGCTTCCTTGATCACTCCTCGCTGGCCCCCAAAAGTTCCTTAACTTTTCTTGGTGGCAGAGGCCATTCTTATTTTATGTCCCCAGAGCCAGAATGGGCTAGACGTGGGCAGTATGTGTTTAGACTGTTTAATGAATGAATGGGTAGAACGGGAACCCTTGGAATTTGCTCGCGGGAAATTTAGTACGTCTGAGGAAACATCTAATGGTGAAGGAGGGTGCCTTGGGAGGGGACACTTGTTGGGGGTCCAATATTTTTCATGCGGTCTCCGGAGGCCAAGGAGGGTGTGCCTGCTGCCTGGGTGGGCGCGGAGCAGTCAGGGCCCTGGGGGAATGTTTCAACTATGTTTGTGAAATGCGTTAGGTACGGAGAGTTCAAATTTACCATCTAGTCCGAGGTCCGGTCCACTTGGGAGGTAGGCGGGGCAAGGGCAGTGTGCTCATTACAGATGGAGAAACTGAGGCTCAGAGAGGTGACTTGACTTGCTCTGAAGACAGGGCCAGAGCCGAGTGCAGTCCTGGGTTTCCCTGGGACCCCCCTGTGCCTTCTCACCACCTTCTTGTCTCTCTGTACAGCCTCCTCCCAGAGACAAATATTGACCCAGCTGGGGCAGGGAGGCCCCCAGGGGTGTGTCAGCTGGTGCCTTCCACAAGGGGTGGGACTTCTGGGTTTGGACCAGGTGCTCTCCGTGGTCTCTTGCAGCTCTGTCGTCAAACCTCTGGCCTCTTCAGGGGACTTATAAAAAGCACTCGTCACATCTGCCCTTGAAAGGTCCCCTTTGAAGGGATCTGTGTGACAGAGCTGGCTGGGGGCTGCCAGGAGGTGGTGTCAGAAAGCAATGGAGTTTGGTTCCCATCCTCCATTGCTCCTCCATCTCCTGGGGCCCATTTTTGACAGGTTCTCTGGGTTTTTAAGCACCCCCACCTCTCCAGCCTCACCACCACTTGGGGGAGGGATAGAAGATGTTTGTAAGATGAGGACAATTAAATTGAGTTGACTAATTTGCATGTAGCATTTTATTCAGCATTTTCTCATGTATTTTGAGGTAGATGTTATTCCCTCTTTGCAGATGAGTCAGCTGAGGCATGATTAATAATTATAATTGGACACTTAGGAAGTACTCAGTACTTTATCTGGATTATTTATTTAATATTTACTGAATACTTAGTATGTGCAGATACTGTTCTAAGCTCTGTACATCCACAAACTCATTGGATCTCCACAAAAACCTGAAGAGGTAGCTGACATGAGAAAATGAGGGCCAAGAGAGGGTTAACAAGCTCCCTAAGGCCAGAGCAGGAGAGTTAGCAGATCTGGGGTTCAAACCAGGTAGTCTGGCTCATATTGAAAAACCCAGCCCCAGCCACATAGTTAGTCACTGTGGAGCTGGGATTTGAACCCAGGCAGTCAGACTTTAGTACCATTGGCAGAATCAGGGCTGGGGTACAGACTCCCTCCTCCAGGTGCAAATGCTAGAGCTTTTTTACCCACATGGTCTTGGGAAACAAGAGCACTGTTTTCCCACACCTGGCTTCCACGAGGAGAGCTTTCCCCTCAGTGCCCTCTGGGCCTGCCCTGGCCCCCCACTGGCTGGCATAGGACAGGCCACACCATCTCATCTGGAGTTCCATTAACCCACCAACTGGGTGACTAGATTCAGAGCAGGATCTCCCACTTGACTTGTTTATTTCTCAAAAATGTTCAACAAACAGGAAAGTGCGGTTCTGTTAATGGAGTGTGTCTGGGAGACCTCAGTATTTACATAGTACCTACAACCAAAGGTGATATTAAGGGCGTTTTACATTCAGGATGGGACAAAATAAAAAATGGCCTGCATAGCACTGGAGCTTTGGTCTTAGAGGCCCGCTGTTGTGCCAGATGTTATTCCTGTGATTGCTGAATTGTGTGGGGTTCAAGAACTTTCTGAGGAAAATATCAGGAATACTGGTGTGGCCAAGGGGTCTCCGGGAGGTACAGGAGAACAGCTATTTTACAAACAGCATTGGACATATTTTAGTATTTCAAGGCCTGGCTGACATGCTGGCTGACTATTAAACTGCATAAGCCCCTTGAAGATATTTATTACCTCAGCTTACAGATTAGGAAATTAAGGTACTGGGAAGTTAAGTAATTTCTTCCAGATCACTCAACTGTGGTAGAGCCAGGATTCTCACCCATCTGACTGACTTCGAAGTGTGGTGTTTTCTAGATGGAGAGGAGATGTTACACTGAGCACTTCCTGGGACCTTGCCTGTGTCCACACATGAAAGCCTGCTGAGAGAATATTGCAGAAAGTCAGCATTGATCCCTGCTTCCTGGCATCCATACCTCTGCAATTCCTGCTCTTTGAATAACTTGCTTCTCACTAACTGAACACCTCAACATGGGGAGATGTCACTTCTGTGATTAGATTACAAAAGATTTTGACTGCTGTCTTGCTAGCCGACTTTCCCTTGCTGGCTTTGATGATAAACATTTGGAAGGCCCATTTGGCAAGGAAATGAGGTCACCTGTTAGCCAACAGTCTGTTAGGAAATGAAGCCTTTAGTCCATCATCCGAAAGGAACTGAAGTCTGCCAAAAACCACATAAGTGAACTGCTCCAGTTGAGCCTTCAGATGAGTCCCCAGCCCAGGCTGATATCTTGATGGCAGCATTCTGAGAGAACATGAAGCAGAGAACTCAGATAAACTGTTCCTGGATTCCAAACAACAGAAATGGTAAGATCATAAAGATATGTTATTTTACATCCCTAAGGTTGTGATAATTTGTTTTGTGGAAGTAAGTAAGTGATATAGATGTACATCAAATAACATAAAAAACCTATGGGAATTATATTATCCAGCTGAATTAAAGATTAAAACACAATACTTTTAATTTTAAACATCACAAAAACTGTCTTTTCAAAGCTGCAGGCAGTTATCTGTCTTTATTCCTCTGAGACAGAATATTCTTTGGCTGAGGGAAACCACCAAACCATTAGTAAAATAAATGATAAACAAGCTCAGGAGATCAGGCCATGGAAGGTTAGGTTATTTTGACCAAATATCTGCCAGAGAAAACAAGATATTATGGAATTTTTAAAAAAGATGTTAAAAGTATTTATGTATGGACATACCAGTCTCATATTATCTGGTCAAAACTGGAGTGTAAACGAGTACCTAGAGATGTAAGAAGAATCTCGAAACCACTTTTGCTTTGAGAGCATTTACTAATCCTGGCAAATTTGGGTTTTCCTTTGACAGCCTCATGGATGGTAGGGGACAGACATTAAAGTCCAAGAGCATGTAAGTTGGGAAGTCAGGCAGAAACTTTCTCCCACAATATGCTGGCATCACAAAGGGCTACATCCTTAGACTAAGGGTGAACCAGCTATGCATCTGTCCTACTGGGGGTTAGCAATTGCAGTTCTCATTGCCTGGGCAGGCCAAGGAATCTTAAGCTTTGAACTTGGTCTAAGGCAGCTCTGGAGGTGCATAGCCCTTAGACACCCAATAGAAGCAAACAAAATCTTCCTTGGAGAAAGGTATCTTTATTCTGGGGATCTGAAATTTTTGGTTTAAATATCTTTCTCAAGCATAAAGAGTGGCTCACAATAAGAGATAACCTGGGATCAAAAGAAAACAAGGCACCATGAAGAGAACAAGCAGAAAGAACAGACAGTAGATGCAGATTTACAAATACTTAGATTATTGGAATAATCAAATTGAGATCCCCCTTGTCTGATTATTTCAAGCATATCCCCGCAAAAAAGTGTACTTACTATGCTTGAGGAAATACAAGAGAAGGTTGGAAATATCTGTAGGAAACTTTCCAAAGTGACATGAAAGGTCTTAAAAGAGACCAAATAAAACTTTAAGAAATAAAATGTGTAATAGCCCCAAATTAAAAAGTTCAATGACTGGCTTTAATAGAAGATTCAATACAACTAAAGGAAGTAGTAAATAGGAAATTGGCCAGAAAAAGATCTCCTAGATTGCAACACAGAGAGACAAAATAATGGAAGATGGAGAAGAAAGGATACAAAATATAGATGATAGAATAAGAAAGTCTAATATATGTTTAGTTAGAGTCCTAGGTGAGATAAGAGACACTGGAATAGAGACCATATTTGAGGAATAATAGCTATAGATTTTCCAGAATTTTGATAAAGGGCCCCAATCCACAGGTTCAAGTATAATAGAATAAGCCCCTACATGAATAAGAAACACTAGGCATGCCTTAGTAAAACTGCAGAAAAGCAGAGACAAAGAAAAGAATCTTAAAAGTTGCTGGGGTGGGGGTGGGGGTATGACAGCACCAATAATCGTAGAATCTAGAAGGCAATCAAGTATTTTCAATGTGCTGAAAGAAAATAAGCATTAATCTAGAATTCTATGCAGTGAAATATCTTTTTAAGGAATAAGAGCAAAATAAAGATATTTTCAGATAATAGAACCAGAAGGAATTTTCCAGTATTAGAGCCATGTATAAAGAATTATGCAGGATGTGCTTTAGGCAGATAGTAAAACAATTCCAGATGGAAGGACTGAAATATGGGACTAAAGATCAAAGAAAATGAGTAAACATATGGGTATACTTAAATTTTGTATTTTACGTAGTATGAAACAACAACAATAATGATTTGTGGGCTTTAAAAGTGAAACTAGAAAAATTAAAATATATTGCAATAGCATTTAAGTAGGAGGGTAAGTGGAATTAAAGTGCTATAAGTCATTATATCATCTTGGAGTAAGATAAATATTTGTTCAACCTTAGACTTTGAAAAGAGGTTAACTTTGCATGTTGTGATTTCTGGGGTAGTTATGATAAAATTAGGGCTTATGACTTCCAAAGTAGTAGAAGGAAAAAGAGCATGATGAAATTTGTCAAGTTAAGTGTTGGCAAGAAGAGAAAGAAAAACAAACTTAGAACAACCAGACCAAAAGAAAGTCACAAAAGTGGTAGCCTTAACCGCAAATATGTCGGTAATTACATAAAATATAAATGAACTAAGTGCTCTGTTAACAATGATGCCTGTCTATCTATCTGTCTATCTATCTATCATCTATCTATCTATCTATCTATCTATCTATCTATCTATCTATCATCTATCTATCTATCTATCATCTATCTATCTATCTATCTATCTATCTATCTATCATCTATCTATCATCTATCTGTCTATCTATCTATCATCTATCTATCTATCTATCTATCTATCTATCTATCTATCTATCATCTATCTATCATCTATCTATCTATCATCTATCTATCTATCTATCTATCTATCTATCTATCTATCTATCTATCTATCTTGAGAGAAAAACAGAAAGGCAGAGAGAGAGAATCCCAAGCCGTCTCCGCATTGTCAGAGCAGAGTCCGATGTGGGGCGTGATCCCATGAACCATGAGATTATGACCAGAAGCGAATCACAAGGCAGCTGCTTACCACCTGAGCTACCCAGGCGCCCCATAGACAAAGATTTTAAGACTGTGTAAAGTAACTCTGTACGGACTAGAGAGAAGTAACCTGCCCCAGGTCCTCTAGGGGCAGCAGCCAGGTCACATGCTTCCTGGTCCTGTGTTCTGTCACCCTTACCCGATCCAATTCAATACGGCCATTTAGTTTGAGCAGCCAAGTGCTTATCAGGTGATGTCAGATTTTGCAATAGGTAGATGAGTACAACAAGCTTTCTGTCTTTACAGCCTTTTCCCGAATGAAGAGAAAGTATGTTTTAGTATGAATTCCAGGATACAGATTTCTCTAGGGATTTACGGTGACACCGTATCTTCATGGAGGGGGAAGCGGGGATGGTGACAATTTCGAGGCTGTGTCTGAGAAAGGCCTTGCCTGTGTGCCTGAGTGTCTACTCTAATAGCACCACATGAAGTCAGAGGGGAGGGAGGGAGGAGGTGCTTTTCTGAATGGAAATTCATCAATGTATTTCTGTCTGCTGCAGTTATCAGTGTTGCTATTTCCGTGAGTAATGGTGGAGCCTTCACCGGGCTCATGCCAGACGCTGGGGGTGGGGGCACGGGGCAGCGATATGGCAGGGGTCCTCTCTTTCGTCAGAAAGCATGAGCTCATGCCAAGGTTTCCACAGGTCACCGAGATAGCACTGGCTCCCTGGAGACAGGCGTGACCCTCAGGTCGGCTCCTAGTCATTGAACTAAGTGGGCTCAGATAAGGGCCGGATAATGGTAGCCAAACTCCCACGGCCTCTTCAGGCCTCCCCAGAGCCCTGAGGCCAGAGAGAGGGCAGGTCAGGGAGGGGCCAGGGGGAGGAACGCGGACCGGGAGCCTGCTCTGAGCCCCTGGAGCCTGCTAAGGGGGCCCCAGACCTGCTGGGGCTCATGGCCCACACGTGGTCCATGCCCTGGCTCCCAGACCAGAGCTCTTAGGACAAACAGACGTCTAGTGAGTCCGGACACTGGCCACTGTGAGCTCCTGGAAAAACATCAAACTGGTAGCACTTCCTTCTCTGGACTTTTTCTCATTTCATCAAATTTGCTGTATCTGTTGGCAAATATTAGTGAGTGGGGAAGCAGGAGATGTATGCCTTCAGGGACCTGCTATGGCTCCGGCGTGACCAGGGTTAATCTGCCCGGTGCTCCCAGGAAAAGCCAAGGCCTGATCACAGTCCAAGCAGTTTCTCTACTTCTGTGCTCTCTGACCCTGAATCAGCCACCTATGAGGTTTGATCTCGCCAAGGCTTCTGGGACTTAAAACAAGCCACACCCACTTAAAAAGAAAATGAATGAAGGGTCATCTGTGTGTAACCAAGACTCGATGATGGTCATGGCCCCGGGGCCTGCCAGTCCCTGGGGGCTGCTGCACAGCCCTGTGGGGAGGGTAGGAGGCAGATTTAGAACTGGGAGGGACTTCCCTTTGCGAGGTTGTCCTCCAGGGTTGGCAAACAGCAGGCATTTTCCCAGTTCCCCTCTCTCACTGGTAGATTGTGGAAGCTTTTTTTTTCCTGCCCAGAGCCACCCCCAGGGAGCCACCACCAAAGGACCAGAGTCAGCATGTGAGGTGCTATGATTTGCTGTCTCTGAAACAGTCCACCTCCTGAGGCCCGGGGAGGGAGTCGGCCTGTGGGGTGGGCACAGCTGCTCTGGGACTAGAATGCACACCTCCTTCTCTCTGCCCAGGCCTTTGTCCATACCCTGCTCTTATGAGCCTTCCCTCTAGGGAAAGGACTGAAAGAAATCATCTCAGGTCTCATTGCTTACAGTACTGCTTTTAAATTTTGAAAAATAAAGCTCGGGTATCTTGCATGTAGATAAACCGCAAATAAGAGTTAAAGCTTCCATAGAAGGAAATCCCAAATCTGTCACTGAGAACAGAAAAACAAAACAAAACAAAATGAAACATCAAAACAACAATAACAACAACAAACCCAAAAAACCTCCAATATCCCTCTAGGACTGGAACATTAGTGACATCTACTGGACAGTGTAGATGCTGCATGTGCATGGGGTCACCAGTCAACCCTTTTTCTCAATACAATTTATGTAAACATTTTAAAAATATGCAATTCTCTGTGTTATTTATGAATATATGCACATGTAGAAAAAGTATAAAATATGCTTTCAAGTGATAAACATAACTTCAAGTTAGTAGTTAACTTCTGGGGAGGGGAGGGATGGAGAGCATGATAAAAGTTTTAGCTTAATCTCTAATGATTACTTTTTCTTTTAAAGAGATCTGAAGTTAATAGACAAAGTATTAACACCTACTGAATCTTGGAGGTGGTAATATTGGAGTCTGATATTCTGCACTTATCTCATTGTTTAAAATAGTTTATAATAATCATAATTATACTTATGTAATATTTACTAAATAGCATATATTTATTATCCTCTATGTTAGTTATATAGTAGAAACCATACGTTCATTATATATTGTATAATTACATTTATGTAAGGACAATAAAAAATAAGAATGTGAAGTTTGGGGTTCAGGTTCTTATCCTTGATATCAGGCAGAAGTTATTTAGTAACCAAAGTTATTGGAGCCTCTGGGTGGCTAAGTTGGGTAAGTGTCTGACTTCAGCTCAGGTCGTGATCTCGCAGTTCGTGAGTTCGAGTCCTGCATTGGGCTCTGTATTGACAGCTCAGAGCTTGGAACCTGCTTCAGATTCTATGTCTCCCCATCTCTCTGCCTGTCCCCCATTCACGCTCTCTCTCTCTCAAAATGAATGAACATTAAAAAATTAATAACAAAAGTTATTAATTATTGCTAGCTGCCCTTATTATCATTAATAGGCTTACTGGAGTTGATGCAAGTAACTGAACAGCAACCACAGGCTCCCGTGTGGGCTGAAGAGGAGTAGCGCTCTTCAACAGAGGTGACAAGGGAAGAGGATTCATGCATTTGCTCACGTGATGCTGGGCAGACTCGTCTCTTTGTGTTGTTGAGAGATGGTCTATTCCCCATAAGAAAGTGCGTCCTGGAACATCAGAATGTTAATCACACTGAATCTGGGCTTTGCAAGGTAGGTTTTGTGTAGGAGGCTGATAGTTGAAGCTGACAATCAATATTATTTCCAGATTAAGGTTGTAGCCTAGAAAAGATCATAGACCTCAATTTAGGAAATTAACTACTTAGGATTATAACCCAGAATCTGCCTAACGAAGGCAGGGCTCACCCTATTTTGACAACTCAGGTTGACCTTTATATTTTAAAAAATACATCCAGGCACCTCTTATATGATTATTTATGTAACATATTTTTATTTAAATACACTTGCTTTTGGTTACTAGAGCTCTGAATGTGATTGGTCTGGCTTGTGTCCTGGGATTTAAAAAAAATGTCCCCACTTGATTCTAAAAGGAGCCAAGGTTGAGAACCATTTCTTCAAAGCAAGAAAGAGCAATCCTGAGGTTCCCCGGATAAAGAGGGAATTGAAAACGAGAGTAGTTAGTGTGAAAGCTGATATTGTAGGTTGGGTGGAGTCTGGGTGGGGTGGATTCTGAGCAGGAATTGGGTCCTTTTGGCTAGAGACTTGGTTTTAACACTCTCATAGGGGACATGTGATGAGGCCTTAGGCCTGTAAAGAAGGGAAGTTGGGTTTGAAGTCCCTGCATAGGTCACGGCCCTTGAAAAGCTGCATGCTCAGTGAAAGGGGAGGAGGACGTTGCTTGCCTAGGGCTCTACGTAAGAAAAATCTCTCTCAGGATATCCCCAAAATCCAGTTGAGAAATTCACTTAAAATTTAGTCGCAAACAACCCAATTGTCCATCGATGGATTCATGGCTAACCAAAAGGTGGCATATACATACAATGGAATATTATTTGGCCTTAAAAAGAAAGTAATTCTTTTTATTTATTTTCCGAATCGGGATATGACTGACATATAACACTGTATTCATTTTAGGTGTACAAGGAATGAAATTTGGACACAGGCTGCATCATGGATGAACCTGAAGGTATTACGCTAAAGGAAATAAGCCAGTCACAAAAGGACAGATGTTGATGATTCCATTTGTATGAGGTACCAAGAATAGAGAATTCACAGAATGGTGGTTATATAGGTGCTGAGGGGAAGAGAGAGTGGGGAGTCAGTGTTTAATCAGTGCAGAGTTTCTGTTTGGGATGAACACAGCAATGTTGAATGGACTTGATGCCACTAAACTAAACACTTAACAATGATTAAAAATTGTAACTTTTATCTTATGTATATTTTACCATAATAAAAAAATAATAAAAAAAAAACTGGCCCCAAGTTTATGATGCCCCTGGAATGTTTGGCAGAATCAAATAAAATATTGCTTGGAGGAGCACTCCTCTTTCCAAAGTCTACATGTCCTCCTGTGGAGCATTGAAGCAAGGTGGTGGGGGTGTGTGTGAATGCTCACCGAAAATTGGTTCATAGGAATAAGTGCAAAAACATATGGGAAAGTAGCTTATCATGAAAAAGGGTCAGCAGACTTGAGCACCACCTCAACCATTTTCTCAAGACAGTGAGGCAATTTGAAAGAAAATAAACAAACATGTTAGAGAGGAAAAGAAGAACTAGAAATCATAAGGACATAACATATTGTGTAAAAGAATGGCAGTTTAGATACAGCTAAAGAGAAAATTAGCAAATGAGAATACAGATCTGAAGAAACTGCCCCAAATGAGGCCCAGAACAAAAAAGAGACGGAGAACATACAAGTGAGGTTAGGAGACATGAAAGATGGAATGAGAAGTTTCACCATAAATCGCAAGGTGATGTTGGTGGTGCCTTGTGCTAACCCTCTCACCCCACCTGACTTAGTGCAGTAGTGATGGATAATTCCATGCAAAATGCCAATATCTCTTTGTAACCACATGCCACAATGTCTCTCTGTTCTTACTCTGGGCTTTCACCAACACTGCAAAAGTCAGTTCAGCTTACACACAAACACATTTTGGAAGATTGAAGGTGTTGCAACTTCCAGCAGCAGCCTTGAGTCAGTGGAGGAAAGAAGGAAATAAATGTCTGAATTCAATCATCCTTTGCTGAAAGAATCTGAGGCATACATTGTAAACTTCTCGAAAGAATTCACCACGGGACTGAGTCCCAGTTAGTTACAGTGGTAAGTCACTGCTGCAAACTTTATGGAATTTCCTATTTTGCTTTCCATTCCTCACTACCTCTGGTCATTGGGATCACATCCTGAATGAACTACTCGCACTTAAATTCTTCTTTCAGATCCTCTTTTCAGGGAACTAAAACTAAGGCAAAAGGAAGGAGTACAAAGGATACATCATTTGAAGAGGTCATATTTGAAAGGATAATATTTGAGAATTTTCCAGAATTAATGAAAAGACAAATATTCTTAGAGTCAATAAACACAGTCCTAAACAGGATTAAAGACAATTGATTCCAAAACACATTATAAAACATCAAAAATAAGGAGAGCCATTTCTAAAGCAACCTGAGAGAAAAGATGGATTAAAGTACCAAGGTATGGCAATGAGCCTCAGAGCAGACTTCCCAACAGCTCCCAAAGCCAGAAGACAATGGACCCAGTGGCTGAAGGACAATGACTGGTAACCCAGAATTTTATACCCAGCTAACTATGATTTGAGACAACTGCTTTGGGCTAAGGTGGAGAAGTAGAGATGATTTCTTTACTGGTTTTGCTTGGCCTTGGCACCTCCTGTGTGAGTAGAGGTTCCATTTTGGGCAAAAAGATTTGGGAAGGGGGTTGGTAAAGCCTGAGAGCTTCAGTCTTCATCCTTTGGTTTGAGGCTCCCTGGCTCCTATTCCCCCAGGCAGTGAGATTTTGGATGACTGTAGCAGTATGTGTGAATATGCTTGTTTATGAGCTTTGCCTTCATTTCTTCTTGGGTGGGGGGAGCAAACATCTTAACTGCTGTCTACAGACTGAACTCCCCTCATTGCCCCCACTGCCTGGACAGAGGAGAATTAATTGTAGCACAGCTGGGATTTATGTTTTTCCTCTCCAGCCTCAGTTTCTGTATTGATAAAATGAAGGGGAGAAAAAAAGACTGGCTCAGACTGAACCATTTTCTGACTCTAACTATGGAAGAAACTTGCAGCCACCCTCTCTGGGTCCTCTGCAGTGGTAACTACTTTCCAGAGCAACACAGATAAAAATAGCCCCCTCCTGTGCCACCTACACTAGACAGGCAGAGGTGTGGGGGTGACCAAGTTGCCTTTCCTCTAGCTTGTTCCTCCTACTCTACCCCCTCTTCCACCTCACCAAGAGGAAGAGGGCCAGGCTGAACCACACATCTGCCACAGAAAACAAGGTATTTTCTTTCCTGCTTTTGTTTAGATCATTGGGTCTATGGTGGGTAGATTCCATATTGCTGATTACTTTTTTTTCTTTTTTTAAATGCATTTTTAAAATGTTTATTCATTGAGACAGAGAGAGAGAGAGAGAGAGAGAGAGAGAATTCCAAGCAGGCTCCACACTGTTGGTGTAGAGCCCAGCATTGGGCTCAATCCCATGAACTGTGAGATCATGACCTGAGTTGAAACCAAGAGTCAGAGCCACTCAGGCGCCCCTAGTATTGCTGATTCCTTAAAAAAAAAAAAAAGTAAAAAGTATTTATCATCACACAAAGTGTATGGAAACATACTTCCTTTGTAGGACAATTCAGGTGATGCTTATTTCATTCCAGCAGTCTTTATTTAGTTTGAGAGAGAGAGAGAGAGAGAAAGAGAGCAAGCAGGGTATGGGCAGAGAGAGAGGGAGAGAAAGAATCCCAAATAGACTCTGTACTGTCAGCACAGAGCCCAACGAGGGGCTCAAACCCACCAACCATGAGATCATAACATGAGCCAAAATCAAGAGTCGACTGAGCCACCCAGGCACCCCAATTTCAGCTGTTCTTAAAAGAACCACTATAGTTATTTGGTATGTATGCCTTCTAGGCCCTTCTTTCTTTCTTTCATTCTCTCTCTCTATAAAATATATGAACATATATAAAAACATATGACTATAAATAATGAATATATACAATGAGTATACATAATGAATATAAAACCTATACAAGATATAGACATAGATACATATCTATATCTCTGTAGAAATCTATACATTTCTTTTTTGTTCCTTATATAGTATAATCCACACAAATTCTGCAATTTTTTTATTTTAATTTACATATTTGATGGAATCTTTTGTTATAAAGATTTTTCTTATTCTTTCTGACTGATACTTAGCGTTCCAGAGTATTGATATAACAACTATACTGTGTTTAACCCCTTCCTTCTCAATTGACATTTAGGCTGTATATAATTTTTACTACTACAATAATTCAGCAATGAACATTTTTGTACATCTCTTTTAATTTTTTTTCTTAATTTTTGAGAGAGAGAGAGACAGAGCATGAGTGGAGAAGGAGCACAGAGAGGAGACACAGAATCTGAAGCAGGCTCCAGGCTCTGAGCTGTCAGCACAGAGCCCAACATGGGGCTTGAACTCGTGAAAGGTGGGATCATGACCTGAGCCAAAGCTGATGCTCAACCAACTGAGCCACCCAGGCGCCCCATGTACATCTCTTTGTGTCCATATGCAAGTATTTCTCTTGGGTGGATATGGAAAGTAGACTTAGCAGTGACAAGAAGACACATTTAACTTTTCAACATTTTAACATTTGGAGATTGCTCTCTAAAAGAGCTATATCAGTCCACAAGTTACATAATCAATGTATGAAAATACCCATTTTTTCAGTCTTTCACCAAAACCGGTTCTTTTTGATCTTTTAAATGTTTCCCTGGCTGCCATTTTTCTCCTTTAGTATCTCCCACCTCTCATCTCCCTTTGCAACATCTACTTCTCCATCATATCAAACACAGATGTGCTTTGTAGACACGTGCTTTGTGTTCAAGTCATAAAATTACACAAACATAATCCATATGGTCAGAAGTCATGGAGTGAAAAACACTCCAGTAGACACACACTGGAGTTTGCAAAAACACATGTCTTCACATACAAGCACAGTCTTCTTTCCAGTCAAGATAAGAATATTGGTGGGAAAAGTGCTGCCGGACTATCTCACTTCCCAGTGTGAGTGTCCCAGATAAGTGGCCTCCCAGATCTGGACAATAAAACACAGCTTGACAGCTTCTCCACAGCCCTTCCCCGCCCCTCCAGAGAAGCCTCAGCCTCTGTGGCTGTGCCTGGGGCCGAGCCTAGGACAGGGATGGGGTGAACAGCTCTGAGCCTATTAGAGGGGTAGACGATGACAGTGACCTAGGAAGAGGGGTCAAGGTTATGATTGCAAGGTTGCTGGGGATACACTGGGGCCCAGAATCACTGGCAGTGGAGGCAGTAAGTCAGAGTAATCAGAGCAGCCACAGGGGCCCACGTTATCACTGTGGCCTAGAAGGGAGGATGGCAATGGGGCTTAGCTTGAGGCAGACATACACGTTTGTAAACCTCCTTTCACCTTTTCTGCCCAAGCCACCCTGGGTGGGACGCCCGATAACAAGGTTTCCCTCGTCTGCCAATGGCCCCTTCCCACACGTCTCAGGTGTACACTGTGGCATCCTTCTGCCAGAGTCTAGTAAGTGCCGGGCACTCTGCTAAGTCCCAAAGAATATGAAAAACGGTAAGTTCTCATTTCTTCCCTTGAGGACCTCATGGTCGAGTGGCGTGTCCCAGATCCCTCTAGCATTATAATTATAATTCTAGACCATGTCTCTCCGCTGGCGGTCATATAATTAGCATAGTGTGTTCCTCTGTTCCTCGCTGCTGTGTCTGACATTTATGGTCTTGGTGCCGCTGGTGTAGGCTGCTGCTGGTATACGGTTTGAGTCACGTCTTCTGTATGCCACGTGGAGGCATGAGGAAGGGCCCGTGGGAGACCAGTGCTGGTAGGGGGGTACCTGTTCCCTCAAGATGGCGGGCAGCTCCATGCTGACCTGAAACCAGAGGAGTAGACTGCTCATGTCCCCAGCTTCAGGGCTGGGGAGGAGAGGCCTACGGGGCCTTTGAGACTCTGAGTACCTGGAGACCTTGTCAGGCCGTCCAGGGTATGGAGGGTGGCTCATACCAGTGATCTCTGTTCGTCCTCATAACCTGGGAGGGAGTGGAACAAGGCTTCTCCTACCCATTACAGGGGAGGAGCTTGAAGCCTACAGAGGTTAAATGACTCACCCCAGGTTGTACGGCCAG